AATCAGACTAGCCCTGCTGGCTCACATGATCCTTACCCACCAATCAGAAAGCACCCCATGCCAACTGTCAAACCATTCTGTCATAACTGTCAAACCACCCCTGGCTCTATAAATATGCAGAGCTAGTCCTCAATAAACAGGCATTTTCTCCAACGATGAGCCTTGATCATTCTTTCAGTCATAAAGTTGTATTTTCTTAAGTGATTAAAGGTTGCAATAATCTGTTATAGCAGCAAAAGACGATGATTCCGGGCATCATCAATATATAGGAGATATTTAAATCCATAAAAATTTGAGACAGCAGAAGTCTTGGGACTGGAGCTTGAGGTACTTGAATATTAAGTCAGGGAGACGGAAGACCCAGCAAAGTTAACTCAGAAGCATGTCAGTCAGTTCTTTGTCACTGTGACCAATATTCCTAACAAAGAACAATTTAGGGGAGTTGAGGATTTTATTTTGAGCTCATAGTTTCAGAGACTTAGACCACAGTGAGCCAATTCTATTGCTCTGGGCCCAAGGTGAGGCAGAACATCATGGTGGGAGGGCATGGTAGAGGCATGCTGCTCCAATCATAGTAGCCAAGAGGCAGAGAGAGAAAGAAAGAGGGACTAAGAGGCTTCAGGGAAGATGAACTCTTCTAGGAGATACCCCCAGTGACCTACTTTCTCTAGCCAGTCCCCCACCTGCTTATAGTTATTATTCAGTTAGTCTGTTCAAACTAGGATGGACTGATTAGGTAACAGCTCTCATAATCTAACTTCACCTCTGAACATTCCTGCATTATTAACACAGGAGCTTTTGAGGGATACCTCATATCCAAACCATAACAAAGCAGTAGATGTGAAGAGAAAGTGGTGTTATAGACATCAAGTGAGGAATCTGTGTTACATGCTGCTACAATTAGGTAGGGTGAGGATTAAATTAGCAAAAAAGACAGAAAGAACAGGGAGAACATGTGTGCTCAGGCCAGCTGCTCACAGAAAGAAAAAAGTGGACCCTGCCCCTCAACTCTCAAGCCACATGGACAGGAGAGACACTGCATGACACTCAAAGTGTTGACTTTTGCATACACAGGAAGACTGGACATGAGTAAACGTGGCCCAGCTAACATCCTGGAATGCTTCCCATCAGATTGGCCCTCTTTTCCCTTGGAAGGAGGTAGAGAATGTAAGTCAAGAAAGGAGGAAAGGAGGAGGAAGACAGAGGAACAGGATGAACTCTCAACTTCCCTCTTACATTATTGTTTTTCCTTTTACCATCAGTACTGTCTTAGCCCTCCAAGGCCCTAACTTGTTCAATGACATATGCTTCAAGTCCAAGAGTGTTAACTTAATATCTCACATCCAGGAAATTGTTGTTTCTTAAAGAAGACATTAAAATTAAAATACACAATCTTCTGGTACTTGGCATTTCATGCCAGTCATAGCTTCAGACAAACTTTTATGTCCTGCTTTCTTTCACTTCACAACTCAAGTGTTAGGTAATCATCTATAAAAGACTGAAGTCATAAGAAGAAAACTGTTGTAGTCTGAGACAAATATAGCCCTGACCACACTGCCTCCCACTGACTTAGTTATTTGTTTACCTGTTCATCTTTACCTCTAGATTTAGAAGTCCTCAAAAGGTGAGATTGTACCCTTTCATCACTGGATCATAAAAACAATAATTCAAAAATTTCCCATCCATTGAACTTGTCCTATGTGTCAGACATGGTGCTAATTGCTTTCAGACATTTAATCTTTATACAATCCTAAGAGATGGGCATTATTTACTCTATTGCAGATAAGACTGAGTAAGACTCAAAAAGGTTAAGACATTTATTTAAACATTCATATTAAGTTAGAGAGTTTTAGAGCAATCCAATGCCTAAATCTGTGAATAAAAATCCACCCCCCTCACCTCCAAAAAATGTCCACATCCTCATTCCTGGAACCTCTGAATGTTACCTTATATGAAAATGGATCTTTGAAAATGCAATTAGATTAATGGTTTTGAGGTGGGAAGATTATCCTGGATTATCCAAGTGGGCTCAATATCATCACGTGGATCTGTACAAGAGGGAGGCAGATCAGATTGAGTAGGAGGTTATGTGACAAAAGACACAAGAGTTGAAGTGATGGTAACAGGGCCCAGAGCCAAGACAGGCAGATGGTTTCTAAAGTGTGGAAAGGATAAGGAAGCAGATTCTCCTTAGGCCTCCAGAAGGGAACACAGACAGCCCTGGCAACCCTTGACCTCAGATTTCTGGTCTTCAGAACAGTAAGATACTCAATTTGTATTTTTTTCAGCTATTGAGTCAGTGGGAATTTATTGCAGTAGCAATGGAAAACTGTGCAGTGCTGCCTCCATCCTTCATGGTGTTTACACTGAGTCTTTACATCCTGGAACCTAAGGCAGTGCCTGACACACAGAGCACTCAGGCGATGTTTGCTAGATGAATTACTGAAGGAGGAGATTTTCCTCTGAGCTTCTGTCACTTGGCTCCACTTGAATTCCTTTGACCAAGAGAATTTAGCCTACCTCAGACGAAGGCAGGCAGGCAGAAGCAGCCAGGTTAAATCTGGAATGACATGTATTTTTCTTATTATTAAATTGGCTGGATGAGCTAGTTATGGTTTAAGGTTTATTCTAGGCCAGTCAGTACACCTCTGGAAGACATGACCAAATGCAATCCTAACTTACAACTGTGAATCAGAGCCATGGGGGCTGGAGGGATGGGGCAAGGGAAACTGGCTATTTTTATGTCAACCACTTAGGATCTTTGACCATTTAAGTAAATTAAGCATCACTAATGATCCAGTTGAAATTATAAGTAGCATTAGTAAAAAGATGAGTACAGATGACATTTTACAATCTATTTCCTTATATAAATTATTTCATGACAAACTGAAGCAATAAATACACATATACACACTGTGAACACACATAACTCTGTTTGCCTCCTTTTCTGAAATCATCATGGCCCATTCTTTAAAGGAAGATGGTATTTTCCATATCAGCATTAATAAGGAGAATGTTTTCTAAATTAGTAAAGACAATGAACTCCAAAGCTCAGCTGCTTAAAAAGTGAAGAGCTGGAAATCTGAATATTGTTTAGATTTCACAAGTGGCTCATCATACCATGAAGGTGATTTCCCCTTCTGGTATTCTACTTTATCTAAGTAGTTAACATACCCAACTTAAAAATTAGAAACTTCAAATCAGCGTCAGATCTCTTAAGAACAAGTACTACACAAGCAGAAAGATAATTAAAATCCAACCAAAACCAACTATTTAGATCTGAGTCTCAGGTTCATATGTTTGTGTTCTATAATCTATTTGTAGCTGACTACAAAGGTAAAATAAATTATTCAGTAGATCCAAGCTCAGTCACTGCCCTCAGAGGACCTCTGATGAGATTGGCAATTACCATGGCATTCCCAGTTTGACCAGCTCGGCAGCAAAGGCTCCCAGTGGTCCTGAACGGCTTTAGAATCTGAATAAATCACACATACTAGAGTTCTATCGAGACCACCAGAAAGTCAATTTATTTGTGATCTGAGAGAGGATTTTATTACTTCTCAGATTAACAGCTTAAAATGTTTTGCTATTTTGCCTCATGAGTATTAGTTTGATGTATGAGGCAGGGAGATTATTAAATCTTTGGTGCCTTCCAAAGATGTAAATTAAACCACAGCACCTCCTTAGCCACCTTCCTGGTACAAGCTGGAGATTTATTATGAACTTGTCACTCTTGCATGCTCATCAAAACAAGCAGCACCATGATTAATTACTCCTGTTTATTTAAGGGTACCTGTCATTCCAGATTTTTTGTAGACAGGATGTTACAAAATTATCCAATTTCTTTGCAGAAGTATAGGATGAGGACTTCTAGAGGCCTAATCATTTCTATGGACATAGTTGAAAGAAAGGTGACATGCATGTCATTCTGTCTTGTTCTATCAGCTTTAAATGAAACTGAACTTCATTTTGGTTTCCCTTTCCTGGTCATAGACATCACACTGCTGATTCTGTTCATCTGGACGGCTTCCAAAGATTTTGAAGAGCTCCAACATTAAATGGATATGAACTGTAAAATGCTCTTCTCAATTCTGTTATAATTCAATTCAACAAAGAGCATTCATTAGGTTCCTTCTATCTGCCAAGCAGCAAATGTGAATGCTTTCATTCATTTCTTCATACAATATTCATTTAATGTCTTTTGTGTGCCAGTAATGGTATTAGGTCAAAAGAGTAAACAGTCCTCTCCCCAGGGGGTTTATAACCTTGTTTTTTCTCAAGGCATTTGTCTCCCATATTATAAACAGGAGAAAATGAAGAGACAGTGAGGGCCTGGGTCAAAGGGAAAAGAGAACAGTGCCTTCCTTCTAAGATGTTTGCACAAAATAGACATTAAGCTGAGGCAGTCTGAATGGGTCATCTGCAAGTGCGGTACCCCAACCTCATCCAGGATGCCTCTGTAGGACTGAACTGCATTGAAACCATGGTATTTTACCTCTTTGTTTCCTTCCTGATATGTCCTGTCATATCAAAGATCATCTGGGTTACCCAACAATCACTGAAACAGGAAGTTTTCAAGTGAATTTTGTAGGCATGGCTGCCTGTCTTCTGATCTGCCACAACAAAAAGTCACTTGATCAGTTTGGATTATAAAATAATCAACCTACTTTTTAAAACATAGGTTTATGATCATATCTTTATCTTCTATGCCTTTATTATAGAAATTGTCAAACACACAAAAATGATAAATAACAAACCCCATGTACCTGTCATCTTGCTCCAGTGATTATCAACATTTTGCTGTTCTTGTTTTTATCTATTACAACTCTCTCCTCACCTTTTTAGTATTTCAAAATAAATCCCTGTCATCATACCACTTTACTTACAAATACATAAAACTACCTCCAACAAATAAAGTGTCTAAAATAAATACCATTGTAATATCTAACAAAATAACAATGATTCTTAAATATCTTCTAATCCCTAGCCCATGTTCAAATGTCTCTGACATTCTAAAAACATTCTTTTGATATAGTCATGGGGGTGCACACCTGTTATTCCAGCAACTTGGAAGCTGAGGCAGGAAGATCACAAGTTCAAGGCTAGCCTCAGCAATTTACTGAGACAACTTAGAATTAAGTTGTCTGTCTCAAATTAAAAACTAAAAAGGGGATATAGTTCAGTAGTAGAGCACCCCTGAGATCAATACTGAGTTACCCCCCAAAAATCTTTCAAATTGAAAAAAGATCCAAAATCTACACATTAAATTTGGTTGATGTGTCTTTCACATACACATTTCCTTCCCATGTCCTTTTAAAATTACCAAAATGATCTCCAATGTTTGATTTTTTTATCTAAGATAAATAACTGTCCAAATTTGATATATGTTCCTGGTTAAACCTCATTATATAATATTTTCAAGGACAAATGATCAGTAGACAGGGTGATCAAATGACCTACAATTCAAACACAAAAACTACTGAGTCAAAGGGGATGCCATTAATAATTACGTGTGAAACAGAACAATACTCACCCTATATTACAATATTATAGGGGTAAAAAGAAGGATCAGCCTTCTGTATTCCACTCAGGAGCTGAAGAGCTGGAAAGAATGCTCTGCCTCTAAATAAAAATACAAAATAGGGCTAAGAATATGGCTCAGTGATCGAGTGCCCCTGAGTTCAATCCCCGATACAGCCCCCCACTCAAAGACTATAATTCATGATTAAGAATAACAGCTACTAGCATCTATGCATTCCAATATTAAACCAATAACTTTCAAAAGCAGAACTTTAATGCAAGGAGAAATAGACCTACATATGTGAAAATATGAGAATTTAACCCACCTCTCTCAGTCTAAGACAAGTCAAATAGATTTAAAAAAAAAAAAAGGTTAAGAAAAAAATACAGGAGATCAAAACAACATAAACAATATAGATTTTAAAGATATATAATTACAAATGCTCATGGAACGTTGGCCAAAGAGGAAAAAAAGATAAATTATTATGCCAAAAGAAAAATGTTACGAACTTCTTGAAAATAGTTTCAGAAAATCCATTTCAGTTTGAAATGGATTCTCAGGTCACCATACAAGAAAACCAAGATGATAAAAAAAATCAATAGGCCCTCCCAACAAGAAGTTTAAAAAAAATTTTTTTAACCTGGGATTGAACCCAAAGGTCACTTTACCACTAAGCAACATCCCCAACCCTTTTTATTTTTAATGTTTAAAGAAGGTCTCCCTAAGTTGCTAAGGCTGGCCTCAAACTTGCAATCCCCCTGTCTCATCCTCCAGAGTCACCCGATTACAGATGGGCAAATGGCATGCACTCTCCCCACCCCCATAGAGTAAACTAATTCTTAGGTCCAAGGATTTTCCTCTTTGACCAGACAAAGGTGCAAAATATTTTGGAAATAATAATAAATACATGATGAATCATAATCTGTAGGAGCAGTTCAAATACTTTATTAACAAAAAGTAAAAATAACTGAATTAAGTATCTCACTTGGAAATTCTAGAAAAAGAGAGCAAAGCAAACTAAAAGTAGTAGAATAAAATAAATAAAATAAAAGCAAAAATTAGTGAGTTAGAAAACAGAAAAACTAATAAATAAACCAAAATGCTGATCCTGTGAAAATTAAGCAATGACGACGCTTAATTCAAACACAGTAAGCGAAAGAAATAAGCTCCAAACAGAAATATTACTTTTAAAATCATGAGATGACTTCAAAAACTCTATGAAAAAAAACAGAAAGAAAAGAAAATCTTGATTAAACAAATAATATTCCAAGAATATATGCCAAAACTGACACTAACAAGGACAAAATCTCTAAATAGATGAATTTTATAGAAGGAAATAACAGAAAATCACAAAAATGCTCTCTTGACAACAAGAAACCAGGCTAGACTATTTTCACATAGAATTCTTCTAAACCTTTAAAAATCAGATGATGCAAATACTAAACTATTTTAGGATTCTGGAAAAAAAAGTCAAAATTATTTTTAACATTTATTCTAAATTTAACATTGATTCTAAACTCAAAGGTTGCATACACATATACATGAAAAACAGATCAATCTCACAAATACTGGTATAAAAGTTGTAAACAAAATATTAGCACACGGCTGGGTATAGTGGTGTATAATTATAATCCCAGCTACACAGGAGGCTGAGGCAGGAGGCTTAGCAAGTTCAAGTCCAGCCTCAGCAATTTAGCAAGACCCTATCTCAAAATTAAGAGGGGCTGAGGATACAACTAAGTGATAGAACCCCCTGGTTTCAATTCCCAGTAATACACACACAAATTAACAAACAGAATCTAATAACTCATCATAATCAAGTACTACTTATTTAATATTAGGACATCCATTAATACAATTAAATATAATAGAAATAAAAAGAAAAGTAGGTTCATCTCTACAGATCTAAAAAAAATAGAAAAATTTAAATACCCATTTATATTTTTTAAATCTTTTTAAAAACCAAAGGATTAATACCCCTTTAATATAATAAAAAAATAAGTAAACTTTTAAACAAAATCAGCAGCTGCTGTAATGGGAAAACACTAAAGCAGCAGTTCTTAGGAGTATGGCCCATGGATTCTTTCAAGGGTCTGAATATTTTCATCATAAAAGCAAGACATCATTCTTTCCTTTTCCACGGTGCTTTATTTTCCCCCTCCCGCTCCCACCCACTAGCTGGGAATCTAATGCAGAGTCTCACATGTGCTAGGCAAGTGTTCTACCACTGAGGACTTCCTAGCCCTCTTTTGTTAATGGTTAACACCAATGACACAAAAGAAGTGGTGGGAAAAACTGCTGATATCTTAGTCCAAGCAAAGTCATGGCACCAAACTATACTGGTAGGTGTGCTGTGTTTCATCACACACACTCATGATGAGGGATAAGCATTTTTACTTGAAAAGGTGCTTGATGAATTTGTTTAAATTTAATTTATTAATTAAATTAAATTATATTAATTTAATTTAATTAATTTAATTTATTTTTGTTGTCTTTCATTTTGCAGTGCTGGGGATCAAACCCAGGGCTGTGTGCACATTAGGCAAGCACTCTAACACTGAGTTGCAACCTGAGCCCCAACTAGTCTTGACCTTAGGACATGTCTTTAATATTCTTGGGAGAGAAGTGGAAAGTACACCTATAGCTTCTGCTGCATACTGAAGTAAAACAGCTGCCTCCAGGAAAAGCAGTTGTGTGATCTGAGTCCCAAACTCAAGTTGTGCATTTTTCATGGAACACTATTTCTACTTAAAAGAACAACTGGCAGACAAATTTATTCAGATTTGACTATTTGGCAGACATTTTCTCAAAAACAAATAAAGTGAGCTGTCACTTCAAAGAAACCTACTGTCAGCACTTGTTATCATGATAAAATTTAAGCATTCAAGTGAAAATTAAAATTTTTAAAAACTTGTGTTCACTACCCTGAACAATAGAATTTTTTCTGCTGAGATTCGTGGTGATGTTTAAAATCTGAGTTTTTAATACTGTATAATCAAATATTTGCAAATCAACATTGGCAAGATCTATATTACTCAGTGAACCAATACCTCCAAAATGACAAATTTGTAGTATTAAAAAATCGCCTGGACAAACACGACCAGCCCATCCAAAGTGTAAGACAGACCAGTGGATTTTAGTGTAGCAGAGCAGAAAAAGTTCATTTATATAAAGATTCTTCATTGCAACCAATTTTTTGGACGCTATCATCTGTCATGTTTTGACACAGTATCAGAGAATACCCATATTATCTTAAAAGGTTATTAAAATTACTCTTCCCTTTTCCAACTACTTACTATGTGAGGACAGATCTTATTAAGCCCTTCAACCAAAACAATGTAGTGCCACAGATTGAGTGTGAAATCAGATGAGAGTCCAGCTGTCTGCTTTTATCGAGACATAAAAAAGATTTGCAAAGATGTAAACAGTGTCACACTTCTTACTAAAAATCTTTAAGCTATTTTTCATTAAAAATATTAATTATGATAATGTAATGGTTTGACATTATCATTTTAACTAATAAAACAAAATTATTCTGTTAATTTCTGACATGAAAAATATCAGTCCCTATAAGCAAAAGCTCTATGGGTTCCTCAATGTTTATGAGAGTGAAAGTAGCCCAAGACCAAAAGTTTTGAGATATACTGCACTACAGACATTCCCAGCAAAGCCAGGATGATGGTGGCTCTGGGCAGAAAATATACAATATGAAACCAGCATATAAAGTGGTAGCATGGGACTGGAGTTGTAGCTCAGTGGTATAGTGCTTGCCTAGCACACATGAGGCCCTGGGTTCAATCCTCAGCACCACATAAAACTGAAATAAAGATATTGTGTCCACCTACAACTAAAAAATAAATTTAAAAAAAGTGGTAGCATGTATGGGAGTTATCAAAAACTGAATAATATTTTTAAAATAACAGTCATCAATATGAAAGAGCCGTTCCTCTACCCACCTAAGCCGAAACTGAATAATTTGAGCATCAAAAACAATAGTTGTAATGGATTAAAATACAAATATATAGCAACCCAGAAGTCCCTAGATAAGTTTAAAATAACCACAACCACAAAACCTCATTGACTGGGAATAAAAAAAACAAACAAACAAACAAACATAAAACCTCATTGGTCACTTTTCAAAGTTGCTAATATACCAATTTACTTTTCCAGAAATTGATAAGCATCGGTCCAGCTTTCCCCAACTAATAGTTGATACTTTCAGCACATCTCCATAAAAGTCAGTTACTGCAGTAAAAAAAAAAAAAATATGCTTAGAAAAACACTACTCTGCAAACCCCAATAATGGAGCTAGTTATCAATATTCAAATGGATATGATACCTATTAAATCAAAGCCTGAAAAAAAACTTAATAATTGGTGGATCCAGTTGACACTTAGAAAGGGCCACACTAGCCATTTTGTGCTTTGCAAAGTGATAAAAAGTACTTAACTCTCTAGATCCAACTGCAAATTTATAGAAAATCTGGGGCATAGAGTTACAATTATAAAGTAATCCTAGGCCAAGCTCAGTAGCACACACCTATAATCCCAGAAATTTAGGAGGCTGAGACAGGAGAATTGCAAGTTCAAAGCCAGCCTCAGCAACTTGGTGAGACCCTCAGCAACTTTTTGAGACCCTGTCACAAAATTTTAAAAAGAAGGTATGTGATGTGGTGGGGTACTGGGGATGTGGCTCAGTAGTTAAGCACACCTGGGTTCAATCTCTGGTACCAAAAAAAATTTTTTTAAGTAAGCCTAAGTAAATAACCAGGCAAATCACACAATGTAGAAAAGGCTAGAAGTCAAATAGCCAGTTCTTCAGCAGCTAAACGTCATGGAAAGTGTTGGGGGGCAGGAAGTAATAAGGGGAACTCTTCACTTAGAAACACATCAAGTAAATGCAATGTATAAAATTTTCCTGAGTCCTTATTTGAACCAAACAACTGTAAAAAGGCATTTTTTGAGACAGTATGGAAAACTTGAACATGGACTGGGTACTGAGTGATAACTGAGTGATTTTGTGAAGTGCGATAAAGGGCTTATTTGTTCTCTAAGGTATGCGTTTCATGAATTGAAAATACTCTGAGGGAAAAAAAGTACAGGAAGACAAATTCAGCTAAACACTGGTAGTTATGAAACCTAAGTGAGGATACATGGGAGTTTGTTATATCATTTTATTTTGGGCATGTTTAAAAGTTTTCTAAAAAAATTATCAAGTAGCTTCCTGTAAAACCTATAGTGATGATATAGCATATAAAATAAATACATGGTCCTAGATCCACTTTGAGTTGAGTTTAGTGCATGGTGAGAGATAGGGGTTTAATTTCATTTTGTTGCATATGGATTTCCAGTTTTCCCAGCACCATTTGTTGAAGAAGCTATCTTTGCTCCAATGCATGTTTTTGGCACCTTTGTCTAAGATGATTGTAATTTTGTGGGTTAGTCTCTGTGTCCTCTGATCTTTACCATTGGTCTACCAGTCTGTTAGGAATTAAACCAGAGACTCTGCATCTAATAGAAGAAAAAGTAGGCCCTAATCTTCATCATGTGGGATTACACCCCAACTTCCTTAATAAGACTCCTATAGCACAAGAATTAAAACCAAGAATCAATAAGTGGGATGGATTCAAACTAAAGTTTCTTCTCTGCAAAACAAACTATCTGTGAATAGAGAGCCTACATCGTGGGAGCAAATTATTACCTGACATATCAGATAGAGCACTAATCTCTAGGGTATATAAAGAACTCAAAAAGCTAAGCACCAAAAAAAATAAAAAATAACCCAATCAATAAATGGGCCAAGGACTTGAACAGACACTTCTCAGAAGAGGATATACAATCAATTACCAAATATATGAAAAAATCTTCATCATCTCTTGAAATTAGAGAAATGCAAATCAAAACTACTCTATGATTTCATCTCACTCCAGTCAGAATGGAAACTATTAGGAATACAAACAACAATAAATGTTGGTAAGGATGTGGGGGGAAAGGCACACTCATACATTGCTGGTAGGACTGCAAATTGGTGCAGCCAATATGGAAAGCAGTATGGAGATTCCTTGGAATGGAAATGGAACCACCATTTGACCCAGCTATCCCTCTCCTTGGTCTATACCCAAAAGGACTTAAAAACAGCATACTACAGGGACATAGCTACATCAATGTTTATAGCAGCCCAATTCACAATAACTAAACTGTGGAACCAACCTAGATGCCCTTCAGTAGATGAATGGATTAAAAAAATGTGGCATATATACACAATGGAATATTACTCAGCAATAAAAGAGAACAAAATCATGGCATTTGCAGGTAAACGGATGGAGTTAGAGAAGATAATGCTAAGTGAAGTTAGCCAATCCCAAAAAAACAAATGCCAAATGTTTTCTCTGATATAAGGTGACTGATCCATAATGGGGTAGGGAGGGGGAACATGGAAGGAATAGACAAACTCTAGTAGGGCAGGGCAGGGGGAGGGGAAGGCAGGGGGTAGGGGGTTAGCAATGATAGTGGAATGTAATTGACATCACCATCCAAAGTACATGTATGAAGACATGAATTGGTATAAACATACTTTATATACAGAGATACGAAAAATGTGCTCTATATGTGTAATAAGAATTGTAATGCATTCCACTGTCGTGTATTTTAAAAATAAAATCAATTAAAAAAATAAATACATGTCATGTTCTTGATGAGTTCATAATCCTGGGAAGAAAACAGAAGAATGAAAAAAAAAAGCTGTGTAAGATCACTTCAAGTATTGCTCAAGCAGTTAAGTACAATAGCTAAGGAAGAGATTAATATTACTAGTTATCATATGGGGATGCAGGAATGATGGTTACTCTTATATAAAAGAAACATACAAAGAAATATTTACACTTACCTTGAATTTTCTAAGCTAATCTAATATGCAAACTGATATTCCAATTCTGGGTGTCACTAAAAATATAAGTTCTTGAAAGTACAGACAGAAAAATGCATCTGTCCTACCCAGTAAAATAACTTGGTGTTAAAATATAATCCTAAATAGCAAAAAGATACAGAAGCACATGAAATATAGCCTTTTCCCCAAAGATCTGTAGAATCTTTTCCACAGATGAACACAAAAAGAACAATCTTTACAAATGTTTTCCTTAAACTATAATCAAAGCCATAAATCAAAAACTATGGCTACAGTTAACTATTTTATCTATAACAAGCAAAACTAATGCTGCTGCACTTGGTTTAAAGGAACACAGAATAATTACACCTGGGTGACCTATTAAGATACTCTGGAAGACAGAATGATTAAGATTCTCAAGAAAATTACAGACCCATTATTGTAGGTACAATTTGTGAGTATACAACCTATATGTAAACACAAACAGATGTTGACTTTTACATAAAATTCTCAAAGGAGTAAAATTAAGTACTAAGCATTAGTGACAGATAATTTCTAAATCTTTTCACTAGTAAAGAACAGGTGTCATCTTCACATCTATAGTCATTAAGAAGCCCCTGGGGCTGGGGTTGTGGCTCAGTGGTAGAGCGCTCACCTAGCATGCACAAGGCCCTGGGTTCGATCCTAGCACCCCATAAAAATAAACAAATAAAGATGTTGTGTCCAACTACAACTAAAAAATAAATATAAAAAAAGGAGCTCCAACTCTTTCAGTATGAAACTGAACTTATCCAAAGATAAGTTACCTTCTTTTTTCATATTGGCCAAAAATAAGAAAAGGAAAATATTAAAGAGACTTGATAACAAGAGAATGCGGGGGAAAGAATGCATTCATTAGAAATTCAAAATATGAAATACCTCACTATATAATCATTGTTTTAATCACTTTTCAAAACATACCTATATACCATGAATTACAATATGTGGTGTCCAGCTTTTACTTTATTACTTGTTCCACTAGGTCAACCCTTTAAACAAAAGAAAAAAGCCCTCCATCCAAAAAGAAATTCATCTTCAATTTCAATATTAAATACAAAGTATTTTTATTTCATTTCCATATCATAAAATTATTTTGTATTTAGTTCCACTCCTAAGATCCCTCTGAAATGAGTTTTCTCCAATAGGAGTGAGGTTTGTTACCAAATAATTGCATCTCTTTTCAATAATTATGTAATAAACAATTTTTTTAGCTAAGTATATCTGTATCATTTGTACATAATAATTTGTCATCATTTTAATAAGAAGTATTTAATTGTCTACAATCTGTTCAAATTAAAGATCACCAAGCAAATATAAGTAAGACCTAAACATATCAATATACTTAATGTCTTTATTTTTTAGAACATAAAAATGAACAGAAAACTGTTTATGCTTTCTTAAAATCTTTATAAGCATGCACTGTTTGGGGGGAAATTATAATCATTTATTGTTTAAAACAATTTCAAAAACTGAAACAAAACTAAAATATTTTATTTCTCACTTTCATCTTAGAGAGCAAAAATAAACACTTAATTTCAGTATTACCCTTTTTCTAAAGTCAATGAACATGAATTTTATTTGAGTTTATTATCACTACTTTCATTCCCAAAAATGTAAAGATTAACTGATTTCATATATTCATGCGATATAATTTTATATAAGTACCTCTGACATTAACATGACAAATTCCCAACTATATTTATCAGAATGTATCCCTATTGTTAAGCAACACATGACTATATTTTAAAGACCTGGTACTCTAATCAAAGATAAGTAAAATAACAAATCATGAATAAATTCTTCTTTTTATCTCTTCTAATATTTTAACCTTGCTTCTTTCATTCAAATCTTTGGAATAGAAAAAGAAGCATTTGGGCTGGGACTATAGCTCAGTGATACAATGCCTGCCTCGCACGTGGGAGGCACTAGATTTGATCCTCAGCACCACACAGAAATAAATAAATAAAGATATTGTGTCCATCTACAACTAAAAAAAAAAAATTAAAAGAAAAAAAAGCATTTAACATAAATCTCTCAAAAACAGTTTTAAAGATAGAAGTTAAATCCACAAATTTGGATTTTAAGTTTCCTTCAGAAAAGGTATTTTCAATGCATTTAAATATTTCAATGGAATTACACTAAAAGCCCCCACTAACATAAAACCTTTTTTCTTAGGGATAACAAAATACTGAAAAAAATCAAACTTGTAACAGCTTTTTTCATCCAAGCTTTTAGGAAACACATTTGTGAAGTTAAAAATTTCTGAATGCTAAAAATCTTTTCAAAAAACATCACAATTAAATTGGAAATCTCAAGACCTATGAAAAATATTTTTTAATAAACTGTGATTACTCTGATATACTTTATAAACTATCTCTCACATCTTATTATCCACTAGACTTTTTCATTCCTTTTTTGGATAGCATTCTTTCTCCCCTTTGGTCAAAAGAAATTCCTATAAATATTGGTACCTGTCATCTACATTCAATTCAACGTGAACCTCCCTCAAGTTATTAACTCACCTCTAAAGGAATTTCAATCCAATAAATCAGATGAACAACTGATCCAAAAGCCCTAAGAAACAAAATATATTCTAATATATTCCAATGTTAGATTCCAATACAGATAAATGTGTTTAAAAAAAAAAAACAACTAAACATTCAATACTTATCTGAAGGGCTTAGAAGTTCTATTATCAACATCTGGACCAAGGCTTTCAACTTATTCTAACAAATGGTTAAAATAAGCAAAATAAATTGATTATAAGCAGGGCATCAAGACTATTAAGTGCAAAATGATTTTCCAAGAGGGTTTTCCCTTGGTAACCAATTTTCCATTCGACTTCCAGCATCATATAACTTGAACTGCTTGCAAAAGGCCACCTGTAGGAAATGAGATTTCTTTCAAAAATCTACCTCCAGGCCTCCATACTCCCTCTTCTCTCCACCACCCTTAAGTACTTGATCTTTCTCATGCAATAGTTTCCATAAATACTACAATATTAAGGAATAAATTTTAATGAATACAAATCAAAGGAAATGAAGGAACATTAACTCTCATTCAAAACTTCTTTTAGTCTTTCCAATTATATTTTTAACTTTCCCATGATTCTCTTTAAAAAAGATGAACACAAAATATATCTGCTAAAGATTTTATTTATGAATCTATAATGGAACTCAAAATAGCAAAGAACAAGAAAATTTTCACATTGGTATTTATCAACCAAATACATCAGAGAATACTTCTATTTTTCATATAACGGAAAATGCCTAAAAATGCACATGAGAATATAAATATTGTCTAGTTTGTAGAACTTTAAGATAATGAAGAATTGCTTAAAGCAGTTTGCCAAAAAAGTTCATCATACTGTTAAAGACATACAATTCAAAAGAATCAAATGTAACTGATGAAATAACCATTTCATGGCTAATCTTTTCATAAAGTGCTATTTTCAGACTGAAAAAAGAATCTAGTAAAGATTTTATAAATTTAAATATTGAGACTTCATTCTGAAAGTATTAAATTTTTCTTCAGTACTGTGTTCATAACATTCATATATTCCCAATATAATAAGACTATAAGATTATAAATGATTACCTTAAAATTAAATAAAAATCTTTTCATTCACTGATAATTTCCTGGAAGTTAAAAATTACTACTACATTGTTAAATGAAGTTTTCATGATACAGGAGTGTACTAGACACAATTATTCATTGTTTTAAACATGATCTTTGGTTTGAAGCTGTCTTATTATTAGTTGCATGGTTGTACTTAGTAAAATATTTGTAAAATAGCACACTAGTTTCATTTGAAACATAAAAGAAAATCCAGTCCATCGTCTAAAAGCAATGAATGGCATATACCAAGAAATCTGGCACAGTGAGTTCCCTGATATCCAAAACTGTCAAGAGCTAAATGAAGTCCTGTTGCTGAGGAGTGCCTCCTCCTTTGACTGCTATCAACTTATTAATATCATTAGCCAATGAGAAGTTAGTTGGAAAAAACCCTGAATGAAGGCACACAGGTGCAGATCTTAAGCAGATAAGATCAAATCAATTGCATTGTGTACACATGGGCATATCCTCTCCAAATGCACACATCCTCATGTTTAGAGGTGAATACCATCACTGAATAGATTTTTGCCATGGACAACTCTATATGGATGCATGTATCCTAGAAATCAGAACTAGCTGATGGTTTTCTAGAATTAAAATCTTGGATGATGTAAAAGTTGGTCTTTCCCCAAAATGAAAAATATTAAATTGATAGAGCAAACAGATGCAATAACATTGGAAAATGTCACAAAATTGAATCTCAGAAAGAACAAATTCAATTTCATAAATGAAGGCTGCTGCTGATTTCTTCTCTCTCTCCTTGAATAATCAAATGTAAATGGCTTTTGGCAATAGCAGCATTTAAATCCCACAAAAAATCAAGTAGTGACCCATTAAGGAGCAGCTCCATTGGCACAAACTGTAAAACCTGCTGGGGTGCATCAGAGTTAAGCAAAGTACTCAACAATTCATTCATATTCTGCAGATACTGGAAAACTGAATTTGGAAGATTCTGATAACCAACACATAGCAAGACTGCACAAGTTCTCAGGGGCTCAGAGGATGTGGGACAAGAAAACGTGATGAATCTAAAACAACTCTGGAGTACAAAGATCAAGCCAGCCATAAATCTTGTTAAGCAAGAAAGTACAGGCAAAATCATCATATCTCCTGCATGAAGCTGCTGTAATGAATGTAGAAGGCAGTTCAAAAACAAATGCTGGTAAGTTGGGTCTCCATCATGAAGCAAGGAACAGCTAAAAGTCATGAGTTCAGCTGATTCCAGGAGTTGAACTTCCACTGGTATGTTCATTTTTACATCATGGAGTGTTGGTAAACCCACAAGCAGGCACTTTATCTGGTTGCTGGGTTCTAAAACCTGTTCTTCCTGAAGGCACTTGGTAAGGCTAAACAACTCAGAAAATATTAGTTCTTCTGAAAAAATGTGACAAGAACAATAATATTGCTGTGTTGGCCTGGAATCCAAATTTAAAGCTTCTCCTAAGGACTTTTCAATTGCTTCGTTCAGAGTCTTTAATATTTCACCATCACAAAATGGAGAACACTTTACTTTTGGCAATTTCTTTCCTTCTAAAATTTGCCATAAGTGACACTCAAGATTGGAAACTGTTCCTTCTAAAAGAGAATTTTGCCCAGGATGATATACAGCATGTTCTTCAGCCCAACTATTAAAGTATCCTTTGGCTATTTTATCTTTCCATGAAAGGGTTTCCAACATCTTCCTTTCATTATAGGTTTTAAAATATCTGTTCCTCTGTCCAAACCATTTTGTATTTGTACTACAACCAATATTAGATTTTTTTACTAGCCAGTTATTTCTGGAAAGAGGCTTCAGTTGAAATTTTTGCATAAAATATTGTACAGCACAATCCCTTAAATTAGTCAGCTTTGCCTGTTCCTCTTCTCCCATGCACTCAAACAGACGAATGTTCTCAGAAATTGTCTCTAGCTGATATTTATGAAAAAATGCACAACATTCTTCATGTCTTTTAAGAAATGATTCTGGAATCAAATTATGGGGAAAGAGTGCTTTTCTGGTCATTTCAGTCCCAAAATTCAGCACCATCTTAGATAACAGAGGATTGATAGCCTCTCTTCCTTTATAGCGGAGACACACCACATAGACTTCTGAGTTGCCTGCCTTGCTAGTAGCAGGTTTGAAAACATGGACTTGGTCAAAGGAACAGTTTAGCAGGTACATCAGGTTTATTGAACAATGTTCAAACAAAGTAAACATCTTCAGAACAAAAGAGCCACCATTTCCAAGAGTGGTCAGAGCAGTGACAACTTCACAGTAATGTAAAGAAGAGACTAAAGCTTCTTGTTCACCTGGGTTTCCTTGGCAATCAAAACTCCCATCGGCAGTGATCAAGTGAATGGTTGCCATGCTGCTTACGAAATTCTGAAGTCCAGTCAGATATTTCATGGTCATGATATCACCAGTGTTATCTGGACCAAAGTACCACCAATTCAAGGTATTTGCAATGAGCCGGTCATCCATAATCATCATAAGATTGTCATTTGCTTCATGGTATGGATTCAGGGTATTAGCCACCCAACTCCATTCACAAGGGAACCGATGGGATTTTAAGTAGTGGTTAAGACTAGCTATAAAAGCTCCGGGGGCTTCACAAAGGTGTAGAGAATTCAGTTTTCCATTCTGAAAAGCTTCCTGTGGAATAAGTGGAAAGCTGCACAAAATCTCATGAAATTTACACCATGCTTGAGTGCAAAGTTCAGCATTCACAGATTTTTTTACATGAGAAATGATTTTTCCTGCTTTATTAGTGAAAGCAGTGTGCTCATGCCACTCATCCAGTTTCTTATCACTTAGGAGGTTTTTTACTTCATTTAGGGAGTTCTTCAAATCAAGAAATGCATTTAATTCTGCATGGTCACAGGTGAAAATCTCACTGGGATCTGGTAATTGCCATTCATTATTAACTGGCTTACAATAAGAAAAGTTCTTGGCAAAGAGTTCAAAAATGTCAGCAAGAACATCTGGGCTGAATGTCTCAGGACTTGCTAACTGCTGAACTGGTGGCTTTCTGCACTTACTCATTTTCAAGTCAAATCTAGAAAGAGAAACACAAAATGAAATCAATCATATTTATTAGTGAGTTAAATTTCATCAGTAGTAAATCTGATCACACCTATAACAAACCCCATAAGGAAAGGCTAATGTCAGAACACTCTGTTAAAAAAAAAAAAGGCAATATGGAATAAATAAAAGCTTTATCCACCAGACCAGAGTCCAAATTCCTGCTCTGCTACTTACAGCTTAATAATTGTCTGGGAAAAGTACTTCACCTCTTGGGATTCAGTTTCTTCTTATCAAAAAAAAATGGACTTATCATTGTTTTAGAGGAGAATAAAACACACTAGCATATAAAAAGAATATACCAAAGAATATTTGTCAGTGAATGTCAACTCTTATTATCATAATAAGCCATCTAGCTTCTTCCCAGAGTTCTCTACCCATGGTTGTGACACCATCCACATGGCCTCAAACACACACACTTAAAGAGATTTATCCATGGACATGACTTTGGATCAAGCTCTAACAAGGGTCTTTTAGACTTTTTTAGTTCCCATTATACTTTACCTCCTCCTAGGAGGTGATGGTGCATGTGAATCTGGTACTGGTCCCTCTATCAAGCCTTTCTGCTACCACCAACTACTACTGCTAAATACATCCTCTGCCCAGATTTCAATGATGCATGCACTTTGGTGGCACCAATCATTTCTACAGTTCACGACAAAAATTTATTGCTCTAGTTTGAATCTGAAATGTCCCCCAAAGGCACATGTGTTAAAGACTTGTTTCCCAGCCCATGCTGCTAATGGAATATAGTGGAACCTCTAAGAGGTGGGGCCATGTGGAAGAAAGTTAGATTATTAGGGCATGCCCTTGAAGGGCTATTGGAACCCCAGCCCCTTCCTCTCATTTTGTATCCTGGGTACGAGGTATAAAGCTCTTTTTCTCCATGCACTCCCAGCCATGATATTCTGCCTCACCACAGATCCAAAGGCAATGGGCCATCAGTCTGTGGCCAGAAACCTCTGAAACTGTGAGCCAAAATAAACCTTTTCTAAGTTGTTTATCTCAGGTATTTTGCCACAGCAATGGAAAGCTGACTATACACTCATTATACTGCTTGTAAACTAGGTTGTACTTGAATGGTTAGTCTCCTTCTGCTTCATGTTGAAATGACCAATAATCCCTCTGACATGTCTCTATAAATTATACATTCCTGACTATCATATGATCAGTCAGACAGCTCCACACTTACATTATAAAATTTCTTTATAAAATTTAACATACTTTCTTAGCAGAATTTTAAATCATCAAATTTAAATTTGTAAAATATCCTTACTGAATATAATTACAGTCCCTCTATAGCTTGTGTTATAACACTAAGAAACCAAAACCATCTGCCTCTAGGGAAGGAAAAGGATATGAGAGAAAGAAGTATGACTTAATTGGCAGTTTTAGAAAAGTTCTAAATTTTAATAGATAGGACAATGAGTATCATATGGCACCTGTCAGTGCAATTTAATAGGTACATTAGTTTATGAAGTCTGCACTTACTTAGCATATTCAATGTATTCTACAACTGTTTTTATCTCAATTTTTTAAATCTCAATTTGTTAGATGTTAAAAAAAAAAAACTGACAACCAAATCACTATCCCAAAAGACACTGCTGGTTCAAGGATTACAATGGGAAATAAAGGTGAACTGTCATAATAAATACAATATCCAGTTGACTTAATTCTATTTGTTTTGTATTGTTCTATTTGTTCTTATATTGTTCTCTCTTTTTTCCCCACTATTTTCTTAGTTGTCAATGGACTTTATTTATATGCAGTGCTGAGAATTAAACCCAGGGCCTCACACATGCTAGGCAAGTGCTCTACCACTGAGCCACAACCCCAGCCCTCATTCTTTTTTATTTGTTTTAGTTAATCCATCAGTCTGTAAATTCCTTAAAGTAATAAGAACCTTCGTAGTCATTTATTTACCATACTGTATTCACAAATTACATGGAAATACAGGTTAATAAGTCACAAATACACACCAACATTTTTTTCCTTACCTTAGATCAATCGTGTTTATACTGTTACATTGTATTTAGACAGTTTTCTGAAAGAAGGCATTTCTGCATTTACTAAAATCCTAAGGTGGGCAAATACAACTTTATTACAGCAAGCTCTTCTCTCTTAATTCACACAGCACTTACTGGCAATTACAACCAAATGTATTCTATTTTGGAAAAAGTCTGATTTTAGTCATTAACTTCGCATACAAATTAATAGCTGCAATTAAGGTGTGAAATCTTACCTATGTTAAATAGGTAATTGCCTGAGAAGGAGTAAAGGAGTTCAAACACCTCCATGTTTCTGACTATACTTTATTGGTATGACCACCTAATTTTTATTAGTCCTCCCCTTACTCATTCCACTCCACCCACACAAATCTTCCTCCTGATCACAGAAGACACCAGACACATTCCAAGCCAAAAACTTTTGCAGTGGCTGGTCCCTCTACCTGGAATGGTCTTCCCCAGATATCTGCACAGCTAATTCCCTTACTTCCTTCCAGTATTTGCTCAAGTGTAATTTTCTCTATGAAGGCTACCCTTGACATACTTACTTAAAATTGCACCTTGCATTCCCAATTTCCCTTACCTTACTTTCTTTTTTCCATGGCATTTATTTCCCTCTAACTTATTCATGGTTAATGATTATTGTGTGTCCTCCTCAAACTAGAAAGTAAGCTCCACAGGTCAGGATCTTTGTTTTGTTTACTTACATATCATCCCAAGAGATTAGAACAGTGCCAACTAGGGCACAGTAAAGCAGCAACAAGTCTTACTGAATGAATGAATGGATAACACACTTTGCAAAAGAATCACTGCTCTAATCATGTTTGAATACGAATCATAATAATGCATTTTAACTTCACTCCAGCACTTCCATGCACAACCAAAAAAAGAGAAGGAAAAAACCTCTGCAGTTTCCAGAGTGCATGGAAAAATTTTCCAGTATGTGATCCTCAATCACTTTCATTAAGCACTTCATAAAGCTATGTGGCATCATAATTCTGCTAGGTGGGTCTGTATTACTATTCTTATATTGCAGACTCGATCACGAAAATTTGTAGTTTCCTGCCCAAAATCACAAAGGGAACACTTGCACAATTCGTAAAACTAGTGAACCTAACTCAAACCCCACAAGATCTCAACAGTTGTTGCCTCTCCAGTTGATACAAGGGAGTTTTACAAGTGTTTTCCTCCAACTCCTCTGGCCAGGAACTGTGAAAACAGAAGGGTGTACCCAGCGCTTACTTTGGGGCTAGGGCACCCAGGATCTCACTTCGCCTAGTGGAAGGGAGTCCCAAACCCTCCCGAGCCGTCCCCGCCCCTGCCTCGCCCACTGAAAGTCCAAGGAGGATCAGGCTCCTAACCCGGCCTGCATTACCTTCGCTCACGCCCACCTGGGCCCCCAGGGTCTGGAGAAGCTGCTCTTCTTCACTCCCACTCCTCACTCGTGGGAGCCATTCTCACTTCCGCTCCAGGGACTGCTTCCTGGGGTGGTCACTCTTTGGATCCGCCACACCTTCAGCCGCAGGGCAGCAAGGCAGCGCGCCCTGAGGCCAAGAAGGCGGCCTGGACCGGCCCTCGCGGCACCGGGGGCCAGAACTCTCCTCCAGGCCGCGCCCCCGGCAAACACGGGCGGGGGCCGGCTAGAGGGCCCTGACAGTCACGTTGCGCACGCGCCTTCTCGGCTAGGCTTGCGTCACGTGCGTAAATGCTACGCACGCCGTTGACTTTGGCAATGCTGAGGCCCGGGCCCCCTAGGTTTTGTTTCTCCGGGAGGTACTCAACTGGAAAGGGCCAGTCTCCCCCCCTCTGGCCGCTATGGCAACTGAAGCTGCGCGCGCAGGAGCGTCCCTTGGCTCCGCCCCTAAGGGAGTGAAGGAGTGGGATGGGGCGGGGCCGACTTACCCAGATCGCGCTGGCTCCGCCCACCCAGGTGCTGGACCTCAGGTTTTCCTGCGCTGAGGTGTTAGTTCCTAGAACAGATCTTAATAAAACTGGAGCTTGAAAGACAAGAGTTTAAAAGCCAAACTAGGAAAACTGCTAGATAATACTGTTATTGTGTGTGTGTGTGTGTGTGTGTGTGTGTGTGTGTGTGTGTGTATTTATAAGCCAGTAAGAAAAATAAAAACCTCAGAAAAAAAAGTATGAAGATTCTAATAGGCAGTAAACAAACAGCCAGTAAAAACATACAAAGTTGTATAACCTATTATTAAAAATTAGGAATTAAAATATTGAAAACTATACATTTATCAAAGATTTAAAAGATTGATAGTGGCCACTGTCGGTGAGAATATAAAGAAATAGGTTCACATCTGTGGGTGGGACTAAAAATTAGTATTTTTAGTAGTAACCTTACAGAAGGCAGACTTTTAAAATGAGTATGCACTTTAACACAGCAATTACCACTTCTAGCAATTTGCCATTAAGAAAAACCCAACAGTTGACTCTCAATTTGGACAAATCTTGATTTCAGCACTTTAATAATAAAAAACAAAACTCTCTACCTAACGGAGTTAATTATTTATGATACACCCATATAATGTCCATGTGCATTACATGCAGTCATTATATATGTGACAACAGTATGCATGAAAATAAAATAGTATGGAAATGTTTGTAAAGTTTGAACCGTTTATATAAATATATCCAAACATAATAAATATGAAATGCACTTTTTTAATATAATACTTTTTTAATATAATATAATATATTTTATTTAATCCTTGCAGAGGCCCTGGATTCTATCCTTAGCACTGAAAAGAAGAAATAATGCTAGGTCATTTGAATATTAGTATGGAAACAAATTTATTTGGACTCTTTCTTCACATTATAAACAAAAATACATCTCATTTGGATTGTCAATCTATATTTTAAACATCAAAGAATAAGGGGCTGGGGCTGTAGCTCAGCGGTAGAGTGCTTGCCTAGCATGGGTAAAGCACTGGGTTTGATCCTTTGCACCATATTAAAAATAAATAAATAAAATAAAGTTATAAAAAATATATATTAAAAAATCAAAGAATAAGAAAACATGAGAACATGTGTGTGACCTTGAAGTAGACTAAAACTTTGTAACAGGACTCAAAAAGCATCAACTATAAGGAGAAAAATGTATAAATTGATCTATATTAAAATTAAGAATGTGTTTATCAAAATATACCACCAATGTGAAAAAGCAACCTATAAAGTGGGAGAAGTTATATACATATATAGAGAGATAGATATTTCAGAATATAAAACTCCCACAAATAAATAAGGACAAGATATCCCAATATAAAAACTGAAAGACAATTCCCAAAAAAGAATATCTAAGAGGCCAATAAACATATGAAAAAGTGCTCAATTTCATTAAACTTTGGGGAAATGCAAACTAAAACCATAAAAATATACATTAACTCCCCCCCAAAAAAAGATACCATTGCCCATCCACTAGAATGAGTAAAATAAAAAGACTGAAAACATAGATGTTGGGGAGAATGGGTCAATGGAAAACTGAAAGAAAATGATCTTCCAAACTTACCAAGTGGCTCCTTCCTTACGTCCTTTCTTTTTCTTTGAATTTCAGTTTTTTTTAAGTCCAGTGAAATGCTCACATTGCAAGTGTTCTATTCAATCCCTTCTGCCAAAATGCCTATGGAATATTTTAGGAAGTGCCATCGAGCTCCTTCTCAGTTTCCCACCCTCAAGAAACAACCATAATCTGGCTGCTTTCAAAATGGTAAGCCCAAGGGATCCTCTGAGTAGCTGGGGCTACAGATGCATACTACCACACCTGAACTACTGATCTATTTTCTAACACCATAATTATGCCTACTAGGATAGGTAGAACTAAAAAATATAAAAGTGTATACTTTTTTATTTTCAGCCCCTTTCCATTCAGTGTGATTTTAAAGAATATATTAAATCATGTTGCTTTATGTATCTGTAGTTTGTTCCTTTTTATTGCTAAGTGGTATGGATGGACTGTAACCATTCTCCTGTAGATGGATTTCTATGTTGTTTCCAGTTTGGTGATATTATGAGTAAACCTGCTGTGTATTTTGAGTAATCCTGGCTGTGAACATGCCAGTATAATACATTTTTGTAAGCATTTGTTTTCTTTACTCTTGGGTAAATAACCTAGGTGTGAAGAGGCCAGGTCATTGAGTAGATTAAAAAGTTTCTCAACCTCAACACTAATTAACACTTTGAGGATCAGTGAGACAGAGGTGTGTGTAAGTTTTTAAGAAACCTCCAGTTTTCCAAAAATGGTTGCACTATTTTATATCCCCAGCCACAGTGAAGTCTGAGTGTTCAACTTGGTTGTTCACCAACCAAGATATTATTTTTAACGAATGAGATAATATCATGGTACAAAATTAGATCTGGTTGCTCATCAAATGGACAAGAAGATCAATGTAATAGTAGACACAGAGACAAACCCACATACTTATAGTCATCTGATACTGGACAAAGGTGCCAAAAATATATGTTGGAGAAAAGATAGCCTTTTTAACAAATGGTACTAGAGAAGCTGTATATCAATATGTACAAGAATAAAACTAGATCCCTCTCTCTCATCCTGTCCAAAAGACAAATCAAAGTGGACCAAAGACTTAGAAATTAGACCAGAAACCTTGCAAATGCTAGAAGAAAATATAGGGTCAACACTCCAACATAATGGTGCAAGCACTAACATTCTTAACAAGACTTCCTAAAGCTCAAGAAGTAAAAACAAGAATCTGTAAGTGGGATGGCATCAAATTAAAAACCTTTTGCACATCAAGAAAATGATAGAGAGCATGAAGAGAGAACCTGTGGAATGGGAGACAATTTTTACTAGCTATTCCTCCAACAGGATTAATGTCCAAAATATAAGAAGAACTCAAAGAAACACCAAAACACCCCAGATAACCAATCATTAAATGGGCAGAAGAACAGACCTTTCTCAAAAGAATAAATGACCAACAAATACGAATGACCAACCAATACATGAAAAAATGTTCAGCTTTGCTAACAAGCCAGGAAATGCAAATCAAAACTACATTGAGATTTCATCTTACTCCAGTCAGAATAGCAATTATCAAGAGTACAGATATTTAAAAATGCTAGTGAAGTTATCGGGGAAAAGGTACATTCATACATTGTTGTTGGGACTACAAATTAGTACAACCACTTTGGAAAGCAATATGCAGATTCCTCAAAACATTAGGAATGGGCCACACACTGTGTGGCATGACTGTCTCTAAATAAAATATAAAATAGGGCTGGGGATGTGGCTCAGTAGGTGAGTGCCCCTGAGTTCAATTCCCAGTACCAAAAAATAAAAATAAAAAGGAATAGGAATGGCACTGCCATGTGACCCAGCAATCCCACTCCTCAGCATATATCCAAAAGAACTAAAATCAGCATACTCTAGTGATACAGGCACACCAATGTTTATAGCAGTCCAACTCACAATAGCCAAGTTACAGAACCAGCCAATGTGCTGGTTCATTATCAACGGACGAATGGATAAAGAAGATATGGTATATTACACAATGGAGATTTACTCAGTCAGAAAGAAGAATGAAACTATGGTATTTTCAGTTAAATGGATGGATATATATAATATCATGTAAGTGAAATAATCACACTCAGAGAAGTGTTTTCCTTTTTCTCTCATATGCGGTAGCTAGACCAATAAAGGGGAAAAAAGAGGGGGTGGGGGGTTGGAGCTCAGGAAATTAGAGGGAAGGTCAGTGGAGTAGAGGAAGGAGATTGGGGAGGTAGAAGGAGAGACAGAAAAAGGGGAGAAATGCAGAATAAATTTGACAAAATTACTCCGTGTACAAGTGTAAATAGATCACAGTGGATTCTACCTGCATGGATATCTATAAAGCACCAATTTAATATTTACAGTGGAAAACCAGTAAAGAAGAGGAAGGGGAATAGTGGGAGGGAGGAGGAAAAGGAATGAAGCAGCACTGGGGACTGAAATGGATCAAATTAAATTTCATATTTTATGAACCCGCTGTTATGTATTAACTATACTGCACTGATAAAGGCATAAAAAGCAATTCTGGTTCTTTCACATTCTTGTCAACTTTTGGCCTTTTAGACATTAGTGGGAATCAGTTGCTTTTTAAATGTGCTTCTTAATAAATATTAATAAAAAGGTAAGTATGTGAATATTGTTCTTTTGAGGAATTAAGGAGTAGGTGAAGGATATGTAATGTTCTAAAATCGTTGTGTTCCCTGAGGTTTATAAATACTATCGTGAATATTCCAAACAGTTAACCTTTTAGTGAGTCTGCCCTAACTAAAATAATCACAACATTTAGTGGGTATAAAATATGTGCTGGGAACTGTACTTCTTTTTAAAACTTTTAGTTTCTTTCATTCCATTTAGCAGATATATTTATTGCCCCATTTTGTTAAGAGAAATTAAGGATGAAGATGACTAAACAATGCACTGAAGTTCATCTAGTCCATAGTAGACTCGGGTCTGCATGATACAAGGTCCATCTATTATGCAGAGAATTCCTAGAAATTACTTCCAATCATTTTAAAAAAATGTCATATTCATGGCCCAAAAAAAGTGTATAGTAGAACAATAATTTTTTTAAAAAAAGGATGAATTTCATTCTTTTTCTCTCCACACAAGTAAGAGGGTAAGTTGTTATAATGTTTTTGGAAAAGATGAATGTATGAGTGCATGACACTAGAACCCAATACTTTCAAAAGTCGAAGAAAATAACCAAGCATTACACTAACAGATTTGCAAATTCACATGAACATACACAGTTAGGTGAATGCATTTAGTATCAACTCTTAAATATATTTTTAAATATATTTTTTA